CAAGTTTGGGCTGCAACAGAGGCACCCCCATCCACTTGAGAGCTGAAGCCCAGAACCCTCATCTCCAGGGAAGGCACATAGGGGAAATATGGGGGCAAGGATCACTCTTTTTCCTCTCCTACCCCTCCCAAATCCACTCTTAAAGGAGGAAGCAGGAGGAGGAGGAGGAGGAGGTGGTGGAAGTAATCACCTGGTATAATTAGCTTGCTGTTGAACCACTGCCACGAAGCAGCAAAAAAATGCAGGATACCCAAGATGGGAACAAGACAGAACATGGCTCTGTGGCCATAATGGTTAGGGTACTCAATCAGGGAAAGGGAAGAGGTGTTTTAGGATCTAGTCCCTGCACTACTTTTTATCCAATGACTGGGAATGTAACATGCAAACAGACCTGACAGCAGGAATCACAAACTTGAGACTCCCCTTTCCCAACTGAGCACCACATGCATGAAGCTACAAAACCCCTCTTGCTCCATCCCTTCTGGCTCCATTAGTTTTGTATCTTCTGCTGTATATTAGCCCAGTTTCACCAGTGTAGGTGGAAAGTCCACCCCCACCCAGCCTAGCCTCTAGTCTCACAGTGGAAGATATGGACTTGAAACCTTTCAGGCTGAGGAGAGGCTAGAACACACATCTCCCCCTTCCTGTGTGTGTGCTCTATGGTATTATCAAAGTGGGTACAGGCACCACCATTGGCAGTGTTTAGAATAAAAGTGGCTGTAACTGTTGGCAGTGTATGTCAGGTACGCCCTGACCAATCCTACCAGATCAGGCCCTTCCGGGATGGAGATACCACCCCCACTTGTGTTCTGGATCCCCATGGAGTTTAAGCAGAGCTAGGTGCTAGCTGCTAAGGTCTGGGCTGTATTTAGATTGCTGCTGATGAAAGAGACAATACACCTGTAAAACTGTCATCCACTAGTCAGAATACTTTCTTGTGAAAACTGACTCACTGGATTATGAACCAGACAACAAGCTTATACTCCCGCTGTATCACTTAAACTACTTATAGTTGTACTATATCATTTTAAGCATTTTTTAGACAACTGAATAAGCATCAAGTTAAATTAAGAGAAGCTGAGACTGGTCAATGTTGAAGGAAAAAGCATGCTGTGAAGCACTTATTCTGAGCAAAAGGTAGGGATATCTGAGGGTATAAAAGCTTCCTATGAGAAGCCATCACTTTCCCCTTCCCGAAAACTCTGGGAGGTCGGATATTACACTTTGACAAGCAACTACTGCTCATTCTTTCATTCCTTGTTCCAAGTTAAGTTTCTTCAAATAATACAGAGTATGCACTCCTCATTCATCACTGAAGTTGTGCAGTTATAATTTAGACAGCTTTGCTAAAAAATAAAAATGTGCGCGCCAAAAGATTCAAGCTAGCCAGCCAGTGAATGTTATGAAAACTTAAAAAGAAAAAAAACAAAGAAAGAAAATGTCATATTGCTAATAGATCAATTGCATTTTTGTGTAGGAAATAACCCAGTTAAAAAAAAAAAGTTTTCAGATGAAAGTGCCATTTCATATACAACTAATTTGAGTCTCGTGATTTGTTAACTGTGCAGTCAGTAGGTCACTCGACACACCGTAAATTACTTAAAGGTGCAAAAAAGCAGATAATAGGGCTTAACTTGGAAAACTTTTAGCTCTCGTTGTGCCTTTACAAAACAGTGCATTGTACATAGTGCTGTTTCTGAGTTTAGAATGAACCTATACACACATGCATTGGGGTTAAGAAAGTCAGCCTAAAAATAAAAACAAAGGACACAGAGGAATCTCAAGGGTCCTCTGGTCTATCCTTCAGCTTTGAGGCAGGATCTATTATGCCCAGACCATCTGACAGATGGTTATTTAACTTGTTACTCTGGTTATAGAATCCACAGCTTCTCACAGTCGCTTGTTACTGGGTTTGGCTATCCTTAGCATTAGAAAGGTTTCCCTGGCTCTCCCAGGCTGCAAATTAAACTGACTACAGCTGCCTGGCTCCCTCAGTCTGATTTTGTCCATGCTACTCTTTAATAATCATCCTTTAGGTCTGTTCCCACATTTTGTATGATCTTTTTTGTTTGCTCTTCAAGTCATTAACAAATACTTGAAGCAGTCAGATTGGTCTCTAGCTCTATTCCCCATTTTTCCTTGGTAGCGTAAGAGTGATGTTGTAGACAGGACAGTCCAGAAATTGTGAGAGAAGCAAGGATTTCTTAAGGTGTTATTTTTTATTGGACCAACAGTACTTGGGATAAACCGATACAAGCTTTTGAATGCAAGATATTCTTCATTGGATAGTTTGATTATGCCTTCTTTAATATTAGAGTCCTCTAGGAACTGTTTTCCTGGACACATTTTCCCCTTACAGTTCTTCTCCATGTGCCTTAGTTACTAGCGAATCCCAGTAGCAAATTTTGCTGCATGGCAGCATGTTTTAATACTCACCATATGTAGTTTGTGGAGCTACAAATCACATATCCCTGCTCATCAGGATGCGGCCAAGGGAAACAGCTACACCCAAGGTGTTTTTATTAACAATTCTGTGCTTTTTTTCTGCCAACTACCCTGCCTCTGCTTTGGTGAGGGCCACATGCAAACCAAAGCTGAACATCCAAACACAATTAGTGCCACACTGGGACAGAGCAAAGGTCCAACCAGCTCAGTGTCCCTGTCTGATCACTGCGGAAGTGGATGAGAAACTGGACTGCAGTAGACATTTCTAGGAGTAGGGGTACTCAACCCCCAGCCCAAGAGCCAAGTCTGACCTGCAGGTCTTCCCACAGGTCAGGAAATTTTGCTGTAGGGAAGCAATGGCAATTAACAGTGCCACTACTTCTCCCATGCCCTGCACAGCAGTATTGGTGGCCAGGCTGGTTTGCAGGGCAGAAAGGTGGAGCATCCCTGCTTGAGAGGGGAGGCCTGAGCCAGGGATCTCTACAGCATGAGAGGATCTAGGATTCTGAATAGGGGAAACTAATGAGGTGGTCCATCAAATCACACAAAACAGCATTTTTGTCCAGGTAAACAGGAACTGAAAGCTCTGCTAATACGCCAAGGTCATAGGGCTGTATTACTCAGTTTAATACCAAAGCAAAAAGAAACAGTGGTATTGGAATGTGTATTAAATTTGCTATATCGTAACACAATAGGTATAAAACCACAAGTTAGGCAAATATAAATCAGATGTTTCTTTAATCCTGTAGTCCTTAAAATTAAGTATACTTGTCTTTCAGTTTTGTCATACAAAAATCTAGCCCCCTTGAGCTTCATGGAAAGTTATTTTCATGCCTGTGTGTAATGGCCAGAACCAAAAAAATTAATAAGCAATAAATATGTGCTTCTTGGAGGCATTTGGAACTTTTGTCTAATATGAAGCTTGTATTTTTGTAACCCACAAACGTAACTTGTAACTGTCTGTGGAACTGACTAGGCCTCAAAGACAAAGCTATAGCTGTGAAATTAGCTGACCTAATAGTTCTTCCTCGCTCAGAATTTAGCCTTGATGATGATAAAAACTGGATTCAACTGCCTAGCTTATGCAGTACATTTCAAGAAAGAACATCTCAAAAAGCATAGTCAGAGAGTTCTCAAGGGGCTGGATTTAGGCAGGGTAATGTTAATTTCAAACCTGAAGATGCTGTGTTGCAATTTGCTTATTGGATAAACCCAAGCTTGGGCAGTAACTTATTATAATGATTTCTAACACCTTTTAACTCCATAGGATAACAGCTATAAAGTAATATTATGAATGGCTATA